AACTTTTTTCAGCTCATTTAACTCATGTCAGATGACTCGGAATTATGAGCTGATAATCGGAGTTGAATAAACCAATCAGTACACTAGAAATGTAACAGTCGGAGTTGAAAATTTTATAATACAGAATTTACGGAAACAAAAAGAAATAGCTTTGGGCTTTTAGTTTAACTATGTATTTTTACGTAGACAAGTTTTACAACGCCGTTTTGGGAGTTTCATGTAATAGAAATTTTTTCTGCTTTGAATGCTTGTTTTCTTGTTTGTTGACTTTTTTCATTCTCTGTGAGTAAACAAAACATTTTATCCCTGTTCCGGAGGGAATCAGTTTTGGTTACCCTCAAATTGCATAGTTTCCTCGATTTCGCGGAAACACGAACAGTCTTAAGAAAACAGAGATTAAGAGCACAATGCCAGTACCACGTGGAACAGTAGGAGCGGAGCATTTTCACGTCAGTGTAATCCAAACCTCAATGAGTATTATATTTAATTAGACTTGAATAGCGAACGGATTAGATCTGTGACGTATTGCACGGTGTAAACGAATTAAATTCTGTGTCCACGTATACAAAGTATAATATTATGCCAGGAATGCGTGAATCATCTTTCCAGTGTAACTGAGATCTTTCAACATGCTAAAATAAAAAAAACAAACAAACAAACAACAACAACAACAACTTAATCAGTAAGTTAAAAAAGTTAAACTGCTTGGTGCGAAGATGGAAACAAACTTTACAGACTAGTGAAAACGTAAAACCGTCTCACAGTTTTGCAACAGACTGCAGCATTTAACGAAGTAAATAAACAACCATTTAGACCTCCTTGTGAAGCAGTGCGGTTTGCCAAAAGCTGAGATCCTTTAGTAATTTTTATCGACTAAAAAACTTGTTCTATTATATGTATACGCTGAGTTATCGACTACTGCCAAACTGATAATAACTATTAAAACATTGCTATTAATTTATAATTGTGTGAAACAACAAGACGAGACTGAAGAGCCAAACCAAACAGAAAATTACTTGAAAAACACTCTTCTAATAAAATTGCCCCTCAAATATCATTTGTTAAGCACAATAAAAACAGAGAAAAATGTTTCACAAAGGGACGAGAGTGTTTCACTCCTTTAGGAAAGTCAGCACAAAACAAGGATCTTCCTTCAATCCAATTTTTACCGAGACCGACTTTCTTTTGGAGGCCTCGAGATTTCTACAAGAGCAGAAAAAAATTACATTCTCCTGACGTTTATAAACAGCTCACCTGACAATATGATGTGTGAAAGCGTCTGGGCCACATACCCCTATAAATAGCTCCCGTTCAGTGCCTGCACTGGGGGGAGGGGGTAAGATCTCTAACAACATCTCCATGGAAACACGACCCTCGTAACCTTCCCACTCGGGGGTGGACTGGGTTACAGTGTAAAACACTTGAAATCTGCAAGAAGTGGCAAACATCAG